ATATAATATTAATCTATTATAACCTATATGATGTGTGTATATACTATATAATATTAATCTATTATAACATATATGATGTGTATATATACCATATAATATTAATCTATTATAACATATATGATGTGTATATATACTATATAATATTAATCTATTATAACATATATAATGTGTATATATACTACATAAATTTTATCTATTATACCTATATGATGTGTATATATACTATATAACATTAATCTATTATAACCTATATGATGTGTATATATACTATATAATATTAATCTATTATAACCTATATGATGTGTATATATACTATATAATATTAATCTATTATAACATATATGATGTGTATATATACTATATAATATTAATCTATTATGTATGGTATATGTACCCATCCTATTACTATTAGTGTGTCCAGCACATGTGTTACATTAAAATATTTTTTAAAATATTCAAAAATATTTCATTACCTATTTTAATTAACAATCGGATTTTAATAAACAACTTATACGAAGCCCTTTTCCCCAATATGCAAATTGTCCTTGTAGTAGTTTAAGATTCAAAAAGTATGTTATATTTTACCACGGACAGCAATCTAATTCCGTGGTGGTATATGCATAGCATATAAGAACGATGAATAAATACATTATACAACAATCATAGTAACATATTTTATTGTACTGGAGACTCGACCTAGTTAGAGATTGTGAATAAATAAAAGATTTTTCAAAATCAGTAGTTTCTTGAGTTTGTGTATCAGATGCGTCAAATAATTCATATGGAAATGAGATGTTAATGAAATGACACCTCAACCATGTCAGATTCACGCAGAGTGATTCGTTTTAAAACGTTTAAAATACACACTGCTATACTTATACTGGTCCAGTATATATATCGGTCACAGCACATACATCTGCTGTAGCCCATATCAGTATGACATGCATATTTAAGACATTTATAACAAACCCCTGTGATTCACGTACATGTGTACCTGTACGTACCATTTCTAGATTTTTTATTTAGATTATCAGTGTTTTCAAACTATTTACCAAGAGAGTAACAGATCGGCTGGTTTTAGGAACCGTCGATATAGCCTGCCTTTTTGTATTGATTTTCTATAATGATAATTTTGCGTGTTTGAATTTTACCGGTTTTTAATTTTCGGGGCCGCTTAGGCTCTGCAAAAATTTAAGATGGCGACGGCGAAGTGTTGATACGACTATGGACAGCAACTTTTTTTTCCATATTTGGTCCGAAAAATTCTCTTTCTTGCCATAAACATAATATTTATTTGTTATTTTTCATATTATTTCTGTTGTGAAAGTGTAATTGTTTAAAATAAATATGCTTAAGATGAACACATATGATATTTGGTCATACTGATTCATCTCTTGCTACATGGACTCAAAATTGGCCATATTTTGATAATGACTCATACATAAAATGTTTTTGTTTTTGTGCGTGTGTGTGACGTTTTGTTTAGAATACAATTCCTATTTCGTAAACCTTATCTAAGTGTATATTTAACGATATCATTTATACAAATGGTTCTTACGAATAAATTAAAACAAAAATCATTTCATTGTAATTATATCACATCATTTTGCGTAAACACTTGATGATATTCTCTTGATCATGTTTATTTTAAATACTTGTGTCCAGAGAAACACAAAAGCGGAAAACCAGTATGTGGAAGGTTTGCATTTAATGTTTGCATAAATTAGTTGTGAATAAAAGAATAAACGCCCGTAAAACCGTTATTTTTAAAAGTGTAGTAAGACTAAGACAAATGTTTCAATCCTAGACCGGTTCTACCCAGTCAAGAGCAAGAAAATCGTCTACTCCATAGTTAAATGTATATCATTCCGAAGCTGTGATCTGTATGTTGGAGTTGTTAAATTACAATACGTGACAGTAATCGGTTATCGGTGTGACAGTATTTGGTCACATAGCGATAGTCACCTTTCATTATGATAGTAATACTTTGTCACGCCTTGTCACATGTGGTCATATTTTGTCACATGTTGTCAAGCCTTGTCACATGTGGTCATATTTTGACACATGTCGTCAACAGTGGTCATATTTTGTCATATGCTATTAACCGTTGTCACGTGTTTCTATTTTGTCACTTGTGGTTACTCTTGGTAACATGTGGTCATGCTTGGTCACATGTGGTTACATGTGGTTACATGTGGTCACATGTTGTTACATATGGTCACCCGTCTTCACATGTGTTACACTGTGTCACATGTGTAACGAATCACATGTTTAGTCACATCTAGTCAGTCACATTTATGACTTAAGTCACATTTAGTTATTTGGTTAGTTAATAATGTGATTATTCACAACGGCATTGTATGCTTTGTCGCTTTTATGTGGTATTTGTTTCTATGATATGATAAATCATGAAATTATCCATAGACAAGGTGTAATTGCAACACATTGTATGGGTTTTCTATGATGTTCTGAATACATAACTTTACACCAACGCTCATGCTCTCTGCTCCTTTTTACATTTGTGTCGAAAACATCAGGTGGTTCAGTTCCAGATGAAACACAAAGAATTAAGGCCACTAATAAAATCATATACACACAAGTCAGCTGGCCATATGGTGAAACAATCATCTAGACAAGAGATCCCAAAGGGATCTTGGCGCCCACTATCGTACCATCTTCATAAATTCTTTGTCAGTTTGATCTTTTCAACAATATACTGCCATTAGCATAATCATCGCCATACACCATCACCTTGCATTATCGTCGTCATTATCATCAACAGTAATGTATCACATCATCAAAACAACAACATATTGTCATAACCATCCTGCTCCTTATAAACAATAAATTCAGCATACTTATCCATAATGTATAATTATCATTACCACCGTCATTCAACACTATCATCTTCTTCTTCAGCTCCTTATTCATCATACTTTCATCAGATGAACGCAGGTGCTTACATCTTTTAATGGCATATTTACAACACTATATCGTAGCTACTTCACTCTCACGCCACACATTCCACATCCAAAGGTGGGGAGAACAGGGAGCAGAAGGAGGAGAGAGGATTTAAGAGATATTGTTTCATGTAGATAACTAATTAAATATCCAATGCAACGAGCTAATCTGGCGATGTCAAGGTCTTGGCGATAATAACAACTGTAAAAAAGTATTCATAATTAGACAACTATAATTCTTATAAAAGTTTTTCCATTTCCTCCAGTTAAGTTCAAATTCCCTTTGAATGTGGTCAGTTTTATTGTTATTTATATTCTTTTGAACAAGGAAAGTATCTTTGATTAATAAGTGCATTCAAATCCAAAGAGTAACTGAGACATCTAGTCTTGTAAATGAAATATAAAATACTTTGTAAGAATAGAAATTTCGTTGTCAACATAGCTCGAGGGTTGTGGTATTATTCCAAAAGGGAAAGTTTCCTTGTTATATGCAAAAGGAATAAGAAGTATATATATATAGATTTAAAACTCTGAAGTAATGCCTGTACCTTTTTACATTTCGTAAACAATGCACTATTATTTCAAGCTCAATATTACACAATGGACATAAAGGACTTTGAGTTAAGTTGACTTAAAAAAAGTGTTTGCCACCTAAATATGGTGTATTTTTCTAACTTGGAACCATTGCAATTTTGAATTTTCGTGACTACAAAAGGTAATTAAAATATTTTTGTCCATATTTCTTTATCTATATCATACTCCTGATTCCATTGTCGTGGTCCAGTAGGCATTGTCACTGGAGAGATGATATAATTATAAGATTTTTAGAGCTTTTTTATTTACTCTTCAAGACTATATCAAGTAGGAGTGGTATATTAGCCTTGGAAACTCTTTCCTTCAGGAAAATATGTTTTCTTAAAAAGCGTGGAATAGCAGATACCAATCTATGATATTGCAGAAAGTTTTATTAATTTGTACGTCACTACGTTGACAGAGATGCAATTGACGCGTTGTCCCATAATCACGTCTAATATAATAGTGTTTAGCATTGTAGTACGAAATTAACATTTAAAACTTTTACAGGCTTTCGTGTCATACGCGTCAATGTATTGACATACTGATATACTTCCTCTGTCACTAGTAACATTGATCTTTTTGATCAACTCTTTCTGAAACGTGCGTACCGTTTCACAGGTAACAGTTTTGACAAGGTCTATAAATTGGTAAATCATGCAGGTATAGTATTACATCAAATGCATTTCACGACACAGGAAATTAAAACGTTTTGAAATAGAAACAAGTACCTCGCTTTAAACGCTTTATACACCAACCGACAGAGGATTGACAAAAGGATTATATTACATCTTAGCTCGTTTAAGTAGACGGGTATACCAAACTTTATTTATACATTTTTACAAAATTAATTATGGTTTAATTCTCAACATTTGAGCATACAATACCAGGTGACATTATTTATAGGTTCAACAAAATCCCCTAAAGTTGTGTAATTAGTTATTATATAGTCACGGCCATTTTGATGACGCATAGTCCTGTCATAAAAAGTAATTCACATTCATATAAGTGGTTGGCACTTCTGTACTCTGGTCAATTGAATAAAAATGTCGCTAGAATGTTATCTTGCGATCCTTCACCAACAAAGGGGGTTGATTAAATATGGTTATCTTGCTGTTTTGTTTTCATCAATCAAACCTCATATTTCGATTATTGTAAGTCTCCATGTGATATGCTGCAATATATCTGGAAGAAAAGTGATATAATGCCAAAAATATTATTTTGTTGCCCCGAGAGATCTAAATCAAACTTTGGTCTCTCATTTGCCAATGCAGGGACTGATTGAATCTAAATAGAAAACTCCATTTAAAGATTACCTTACTCTTGACTTCTGCAAAAAAATAAGTGTTATCCAATATGATCTTGTGGAGCCATAAATGGGCACCCCTATTTGCTTCGTCAAACTCTGATTTTTTTCAGAAACAATTACTTTCTAGTGATAAATCGTTTTAGATACAGTCCACTACAATGAAAGTAGTCAACAACGGCGAAAATGACGTATCAGAGAATCAAGCGAACAGGGATAAAATACCTAAAGCTATAGATGGCGGATTTGGTTGGCTTGTGGTCCTCTCATCCTTCATGCACAACTGTCTCCTCGATAGTGTCAGCTTTACGTTTGGGATTTTCTACAAGGACATCAAAGCTACGTTTGATGACGGCAGTGCAAAGACTCAGCTTCTTAATTCCGTTATTATCGGTGTAGCATTATGCACAGGTACACTATAATATATGTTTATTGCATTACTTTTCACTCATACTCAAACTGTTCATTTAATATATTATCTATATGCGTTTCTTATTTTTGTTTTGTTTTGTCAACTGATCCCAACCCCGTGTTTAATTAAAATCTTGATTTTTTGCGTACAATCGCTTTGGTTTTCAAACTTTTTGAAATTTTCGACACAAAAGCAAGAAGAAACTTAACGAAAGCAAACATAAAGATATTGGTGTGGGTTTGTTGAATATGTTTTAGTCTATGATGCTTATTGGCTTCTTGACCTGTTTTCAATTATGTAAATGCTACGTAAACTGCTCACACATCATTATCTTCCATACTTAGTGAGAAAAAATACTCATTAGTGGTGTGTGTGTGTGTTGGGGTTGGAACGAATAAGGTTGCATCTGACGTTTTATTGACATCATAGGCCCAGTATCAGGAGCGTTGATAAACAGGTTTGACTGTCGACGTGTGGCGATAAGTGGAGGAGTAGTATACAGTGTGGGATTGTTCCTCTCCACCTTCTCCCCAAATCTTGATGTCATGATTCTGCTCTATGGTGTCGTAGCAGGTACGTTTACTACTGGGGTAAAGTATGAACTATGGTGTCGTAGCAGGTACGTTTACTACTGGGGTAAAGTATGAACTATGGTGTCGTAGCAGGTACGTTTACTACTGGGGTAAAGTATGAACACCACGTATTTCATCCTACACATTTAATAAACTTATATGATGAAGAACAACATTAACCTTTTTATTAAAATATAAAAAATCGTCAAAGCATCTGTCCAACCCATGGCAAAGGAAATGAAATATACAGTTGTGGGATCGCACAACGTTACACGATGTGCGGTGTGCGCACGATGTGTGCACGGTGTGTGAACGGTGTGTGCACGATGGGCGAACGATAAAAAGCTGGACGTGCATTGCTTGCGCACATTTGTGCGCACGATGGATGAACGTTGTGCGATAACAATCGTGGTTGGTGTAAATTGAGGAATGCATTAACAATTTGTACGGTTTCGTGTTTAAACATATAAACTTGATTTTTACGTATGTTTCTATATTCTAGATACATCTATAAACTTATCTTTCTGTCTATACATTCTTATATTTAGAAATTGTGTTGTCGGTGTTTTTAAACAAACTTAATCGACACATGGAAAATTACAACACAATCCCGTATACAGGTAAACATAACCACTTTGTACATGTACCTGGACCGTAGTTTCCCCCCGCCTGGGGCACTTAAGTAACTCGTCGGGTAAGGCTGGGGATGTGAAAATCCAGGTAAAGGGGAGCTATAGGCAAGCGAATGCAAATAACCACGGAATTAGATTAGATTATCTAAGTCCGTAAAATAACAAATACTATTCATTACGGTCATACGGTATCGCATATCAGCTCTGTGGGTCAGGCACTGGTCATGTAAAACTCCGGACACTCATCAAATTGTTATTTACCTGTTCTGTTACCTTGGAGCCAAACCCATTCTTGACAGCCTAACGGTCGCTGTAATACTGTGTAACACGCATTGGGAAATTGTATAATCTTGATTATTGTGATGAGAAATTACAGATAACGAGTATATACACAGTGTACATTATCGCATACGAGCCTTCCGTATTTTTGTCATTCCGTAATTTTGATATACAAATGATACCAAATCGCACAGTTGTGCGGAGAGAAACGCACAACGGGGCGAACGATTTTGAACAGTGTTTGAACGATGTATGCACGGTTTGCGCAAGCTATTTTTGGTGCAATGTCCGGTCACACAACTGTAATAATAAGACAGCGGCAAAATCTAAATCTTAAGGCCCCCCTCCACCACCCCTCCCCGCACGATCAATGATCCTGTCGTAATGTGTCAAATACAGATAAATGTATAGCTCACCAATGATCTTATACGTAGTGAACAATTCTTATTATGGTAGACTTTGGAATCTTCAGTTAAAATGTAGAAACCATTTTATACTACTTAGGCTAGCTAGATACCCATAGACCAACGCTGACAAAGATGTGAACATACCGAACAAAAGCACACAAAAAACAAGAAACCTTTACTTTTAAAAATAAGCACGAAAGAGGAACACTGCTTGTTTTGTAAAAGAAATTCTCTCCTGACCCTAAAACATGTTTCTTGTTCGTTCATTTGTGTATATTTACGACAGCTTAACTAACATGTAATACTTATATTACTGACGTCAGGTATTGGAGTCGGACTTGTGTACACGCCTTCCGTCGTAATCGTGAGTTACTACTTCGACAAACGGCGAGCACTTGCGACAGGAATTGCCACATGTGGATCTGGTGTTGGGAGTTTCGTGTTCGCCCCAGTCTACGAATATTTGTTGGTAACCTACGGTTGGAAGGGAGCAATATGGATTGTTGGAGGGATAGTGTTTAATTGTGTTCCATTTGCCTTAACTTATAGACCTCTCCCAACACAAGAGCGAGAGATATCTTCAACGGGAGGTATTGGAACAGTTATTGATAAGAGTAATGCCGAAAATACAAGTGATACAGATGTGAGGTTCAAATCGTTGAAATCCCGATGTATCGAAAATATTCAAAAACTTGCACAACTGCTGGACATTTCACTTTTAACTAATACATCTTTTAACTTGTTCTTACTGTCTAGTTCTCTCCTTTGTATGGGTAAGTATACTGATTTGCAGTCAAAAGTTGAAATATGCTACGTATTCTTGACAGAATTTAATATCACTTTTACTTTTCGTTGCTAAACTTCAAAACGTTAATAAAAATATTACTTTGCATTAAAAAAGTTGATACTCGCACTGAATATTGCAATTTACATTTCCTTGGCCAATTGTTCAATTACAATACCTTGCTCTAAAAGGGTTCAACATTTACAAGTAAAATGATTTATACATTTCAACAGGTTTTCAAGTTCCGTATAATTTCCTGCCAGCTTCGGTCATGGAGAAAGGTTTATCAGAGACTGACGGCGCCCTCCTGATATCTGTTTTGGGCATCGCTAGCACCCTTTCGATGGTAATAGCCGGACTGGTTGCCGACTATCCCTGGGCCGACTCTATCCTTATTTACAGTGTAACTCTTATCATTGGGGGTGTGGCTACATGCTTTCTGCCGTACTACAATGACTTCAGCTCTTTAGTCATATACTCCGTAGTTCTGGGAATTCCGTTAGGTAGGTACATATATAATGTATTACTACTTAAAGAGTCTTTCATGTGTAGGTATTTTAGGGATTTGTTTTTCTACTCGAGGTTGTAGAATATGTTCATGAGGTAGTTGTCAATTGCCGACGACAATATCGTCATAGTCACTGAAACGTCGTTTTGACGGGCATTTTATTGTGATGTCATACTGTGACGTCATCATGTAAAGGCCACTAAATACACCTATGTTGGATTACATATGCTATAGAATATATCACCCCCTGGGGAGTTAAATAGGGAAATATCAACCTGAGATGATGAATACATGTTTATGGCGGGCGGAGTTGCTAAGGAAATCGCCATCTTGGATCCAATAGGGCGCCTTAGCAACCCCGTAAACCTACACCCCCTGCACACTACATCATCAAGGTGTGTGTATTGCGTGTGACGTCATCAATTTCGTGTTACCGACGGAATTATCTCCCCCTGTTTTCAATAGGAAAACAGGGGGAGATAATTCCGTCGGTAATACGAAATTAGTGTGACGTCATCAATTTCGTTACCGATGGAATTAGCTCCCCTGTGACGTCACACGCAATACACGCACCATGATGATGTTATGTGTAAGGGGGGTGGGGGGTAATTTTATGGGGTTGCTAAGGCGCTATCTTGGATCCAAGATGGCAGATTTCCTTAGCAAACCCGCCCCCCAAAAACATGTATTCATTACTGAGGGAAAGATTCTTAAGTTGTCAAACACGAGGCTTTGTCGAGTGTTTAGCAGCTTAAGATTCTTTCCCTAAGGGTTTAGATTCCCCTATCTCACCTTCAAGGGTGTGAACGATTCTTTTTCTCTTTTCCTGTTCCCTCATTGTGTACTATACAAAATGTAATGTTAACGTTACATGCTCAATTCAGGGTTGACGTGAAGTTAAAGCATTATTGACGTGACGTCATGCAATTACAATTGTATGACGTCACGTCACGTAAAAAATAAACACGTTTCCCACATGAACGTTTCGTTTGTGACACGTGGATCTTACATAAAAAGATGAGGGAGAAATATTATTTGATTAGTATCAGCAATATTTATCTGGAAAGATAAGAAAGACCTTGTCCTTTAGTTCAATTTTAGTTTCAGATATATCAGCGATGTTTTATCTTTAGATAACAAGAAGTTCAAAAAACGCGAACCGTTGAACCCAAAATTAACAGATTTAGCTAGGACTATTAACTATGGATGCGCGAACCTAAAACTTTGAGAAAACCTAGAAAAGATAAAGCGCTGTACCTTGTACGATACAGTATGCCTCGATATAACTGTAAAGAAAGAACAGACCTGCTGTGTCCTTTATATGTCGTAAGACGCGACTTATGTAGGGCCCCTGAAGCACCATTAGAGTTCTGCGTATTTTCAAAGTAGAGTACATTGAAGACACCATAAGTGATCTACTGCCCTAATTGATACAATTAGGATATGTATTTGTTTTATCATCTCTTACCTTTCATTTTCATTTTATTGAGTCTCCATAGGCACACGTCTTCCTATGAACTTGGCTGTTGTGAAGACGTTTAACATATAACCTAACTGGACACCATATCTCTTCTGGTTCTATCTGCCATGGTCCGGTCCCATCGGCCACGCTTAGATAGCTGTGGCTGACCGTCCAACGATTTCCTCTGACATCCGAATCAGAATTATCTGATCCTCTGTTGTTTCTTTATGATAAACTGTTATTGTCTACTAATTATAAAATGTACTTGTCTGAAAAAATTAAGCACATGAGCATAAAAATATAGCTCCTATCAAATCATATTACGTTAGAAAAAGAATTCTCATTGGTTCAAAGTTTGTTTGTGTCGTAGACATATATACCACTCGATGATTATTATATAGCTAATTCATATATATAAGCAGTGCTGATTTGAATAAAATATAATTACATTACACATATTGTTTTTGTGATGCATTCGAGTAATGTCTCCTTTCATATTGGTCTGATTGCACTGCCATTAGCATGATTTAAACAATTCGGATGAAGTTTTAGCTATTTATATAAACAATTTTCTATCGACATTTACAAAAGTTATATAATGAGTGATTATTGATAGGAATGTATATAAAATAGATTGAGTATATATCCGAAAGAGCTTACCCACGATAGATATCCTGTTGTCAACAACGCTTGTAACAACATTATGAATCTCCTCTCTACAAAAACAGCGACAACCTTACACATCTCACAATCCTAAATAATCATAAACTATCATACGTATGGGTGTCTGTTTTAATAATTAAATCCATAGATGGTTCTGCTAAGCTTCAGAGAATGTCCGTTGAAATTAAAAACAATCACATTCTTTGTTAACCATGCAGTACCCTTCATAAAACTACTAATATGCACATATATATGTATTATAATTTCAATATTGACAGGTACGAAATATCTGATTTCGACATATGCATATTATGATTTCAATATTGATAGGTACGAAATATACTGATATAGACATATGTATATTGTAATTTCAATACCGACAGGTATGTGTCTGTCTCTTCCTACAATAATCATGCTGGAGTTCCTCGAACTAGAACGATTGTCCAGCGCGTTTGGATTATTGACCTTTTCTAGCGGAATATCTACCATAATTGGACCTCCGATAGCAGGTAATAATAACGAGTATCTTGTCTAATTCTTCAACAATTATATAAGTTCCATTAAATGTATCTACGAAGAGGAAAAGGACGGAACCACACCATTCTTAGACACGCTCATCGCCCACAAAGAAAATGGCACTATCAAACTTTTAGTGTACTGCAAACCGACACACACTGATACATATTTTACTTTCAAATACCACCATCCACTACATCAAAAGCTTGGAGTCGTACGCACACTCCCCGACAGATGCAACAACACCATCACAGAGCAGGACGATAAACACAGGGAAGAGACTCACTCAACCGTTGTGGCTACCAATTGGTCAATAAAAATGGTGAAAAGAGCGGTAAAAGAAAAGACTGAAAATAGAAAACCGAGACAGAAGAAAAGTAATGAGAGCCAATCCAAAAGCAAAGGCTGCATGGGTCACTATGCCCTACGTGAAGGGGTCGTCTGAGGCGTTCGCACGGGTGATGAGGAAACACCATTTCAGTACCTCGATGTGACCACTGAAACCCTCAGACAGTTACTGGTGCACCCCAAATACAACACTAATATTTTAGACAAAACATGAGTTGTATATCAAATTCCATGCAAAATTTGTCAGCATTCAAATATAGGTGAAACTTGGAGGAAATTTGGTACACGTCCGAAGGAACACCAAAAGGACGTAGTGAAACTGAGCAACATCACATTCAACAGATCCAACAGCCGCCACCCAGTACGATAAATCGGCATTGCCAGATCACGCAAACACCCAACAAAATCTCATCGTTATTTAGGACAATGCTAAGATAGTTGAAAGGGAACAACACACAAAAACGAGAAAAAAATCAAAGTAGCAATCAAAATCAGGAAAACTCAGAACTTGAACAGAGACGAGGTGAGACACCAGTTGAGTCAACTGTTTGACCCAATACTGACATAACAGGGGAGGGGGCTAGATGTACACCCTACCTGTAACCTATCTGATGCAGTGTGTATACGCTCCCTATCGATAGACGAAACGTCTCGGGTTGAGTGATATGACAAAAATACAATTTCGGCACATCGTTGTACAGGTAAAGGATACAAATCGCTCACTCAGTCATAGCTTGACAAAAATACCAGTAGGTCTTGAAACGTTGTGACACGTTTAATACGTACATTGTTTGTGTAAAAAGTAAAACGTCGATATTACATATTTCAAAAATGATAAATATTATTTGTAGAAATTATCGAAGTTAATTTAACCAGAATATGAATAAATGCTACCTTGCTGTTACTTAAATAAGTCAAACTACGTTGACTGTTAATACAGAATTGGATATACTAAATGTTTTGTATATCTGTCAGTCAATTGTGTGTCTAATTGAAGTGTTTAACGATATAAGCTAGCTCGGATATGTCAAATATATGAATATCTCGATGCTTTTTATGCGTAATTTCAACGCCTTAGATATAATAAGTCAAAATCTCGTTTAGCGTAGACTATGTAACCCCTTTTTAACACAACAACATTTATTGCGTTGTGTAGATTGATACCCATTACACAACATTAGTATCTGTGACTTGAGAGCATTTATCATGCCTGTAATTTAAAGTGCTTCAAAGTAAATTTCTAAATTGTATAAAGGCTATATAATATATCTTTTTGTATATGTACTATATTATGTATTTTGATTGAAATATAACGATAAAGGGAGACCTTTGTATTAGTTATGTTTTAATTTAAAACAAGGAAGATATTTTGTTAATGCTATCTTAGTCCATTTAATTATCAGTTTACTGAATATTCAAGTTGTGTTCTTATTTTTTTTCAGGTTTTCTAGAAGAAATGACCGGGGGTTACTCTGCAGCCTTCTATTTTGCCGGAGCTACATTTATATTAAGTGGAATTACTTGTTTACCCGTACGATTAATAATTAAATGTAATAGACGTATGTCAGTCACTGACGTAACCACTGTAGATAGTGTCGAAATTACACATATGTAATGATATATATATGTGTAAGATGTACTTCGAGTGCAATACGGAGATAATATACAAAACATTTACGCTATCTTGAAAGTACTGAATTTGAAGACAATTATGGGTATATATAGCGTATCTCGTTATTAGTAGTAAAAGTACAAAGTTGTCAACGTAATAAAAAACATGAGGCGTCCTTAAACCATGATTTGATTTAAAAAACATCAACAGGTGAATGATTTACGCGGAGACGTTTGATATAAGACCAGGTGTTTCATGAGAGTACTCGTCTTCATCTTCAACACCGAGAAGTCATTCAAGAAAAAATAGAAATATAAAAATAATATCAAGTCCTCATAGCGACAGATGTGGTATTTGCAAGAAACAGACACACTAATAAGCATAATACAAATATACCTTCATATCTATGTTGGTCATGTCGTAAGTGGGGATCGAGGGAAGTGAACACTTAGAAGAGTCCATAGTGCCCTTGATTTCAGTCACAGACACATAACGATGTTTTGGAAATTTATCATTTTGAAAAGAGGAGGTTAAAGTTTTGTATTCAATTATGTTGTGCGGTTTCTGTAATTATATTGATTAAATGTTAACTTCATTTATTTACAAATAAATTATGAAACAAGTTATTTCAACTGATGTAAATCAATATTTTTTGCCTGGATAATTACCAGCGCGGGGTCTTAATGTGGGAAGAAACCGGAGATAACCCACTTGTTCGAGCAGGTGAACCCATATCTTTCCACGTCCGATCCGGGTATCAAGCACCGGTGGCTTGGTTCACTACGCCACCCGACCAAGCGATTAATAATACTTTCTAGATTTAAGTAATAATGAATTATCAATACACTTTAAACCTCTGATATTTCAGTGTAAAAAACATCTCATATCAACAAAGAGAACGATCATGACCCCATTTATACATTATACACTAACATTGTATACGTATATGTATGCCGATTGATATATGAAACGATAATTGTGCACGGTCTTCATTAAACTAAATAATTTAAGTGTAATGTAACACACTTATGTGAGTAAAACTAAGTTCGGATGAAGAACGAAATTGATTAAACTCTATTAAAAACGAAAAACCAGGATGGAGTCGGATGTAAAAATAACAGCTTCTTCGATGGTTATATCATCTTATAAAAACAAAACAGTGTAATTCCTCACTGTCCTTGATAAAGAAATTAACAGAATATTGATAGCAGAGTATATTATCCCGTACGAGGAGGTTATTATAAGGATTTGAAAAGAACGTAGTTGTGCAGTTTCCATGAGCCGACTAATGTGGTGCCTCCTGCAGATTGGAGGTTTTCTTCTTTGTCTAAGAGGGCACTGAAAAAACCAAATCGACTAACATCTACTTACCAAGAACCTCATTATAAGCAAATGTAAGAATAAAATGGTGCCACTGTAGTTAATCAATAAAATGGTGCCACTGTAGTTAATCAATAAAATGGCGCCACTGTAGTTAATCAATAAAATGGCGCCACTGTAGTTAATCAATAAAATGGCGCCACTGTAGTTAATCAATAAAATGGTGCCACTGTAGTTAATCAATAAAATGGTGCCACTGTAGTTAATCAATAAAATGGCGCCACTGTAGTTAATCAATAAAATGGCGCCACTGTAGTTAATCAATAAAATGGCGCCACTGTAGTTAATCAATAAAATGGTGCCACTGTAGTTAATCAATAAAATGGTGCCACTGTAGTTAATCAATAAAATGGCGCCACTGTAGTTAATCAATAAAATGGCGCCACTGTAGTTAATCAATAAAATGGCGCCACTGTAGTTAATCAATAAAATGGTGCCACTGTAGTTAATCAAAGAAAGAAAAGCGGTGTTAACGGTGACATAATGATTTGGATAGAAAACTAAGACTGAGTTTTGTCCTATCTATAAACACAAAGCGTAAAGGGTCCTAGGCGGGGACATCATAATCTGGAAATGAAATGGAAGTTGAATACAGTTTACTTGTCATAACAGGAAATATTAAAATAAACCAGTACCCCTCTAACATTTTATCAACACCTAAATCGTTCGATGTTCTGCCCAGGGAAACCTTGATCAAGAGACAGAACGAAGATTGCTCCAAGATAATTGATCCTTCGAAAGAAGAAGCAGTGAATAGAGTCTTGATTGGGGATCGCATGATATTAGATACATGCTGAAGATATTTAAGCTCCTTAGCGGAACTTCATCATCGGGAAATGAAAGATAATTCCATGCTCATTCAACCATTAATTAAAATCGTAATATGTAACATTTTAAAAGGGGACGTAATGATATCAAAATATAAAATTAAAGTTATTTTTGATGTTACATATCATGGCAGTACACTTTATTACAGATACTGTTCTGAGCGGAGACATCTTTTTTTGAAAATAAAACTAAAAGTGATATGCATTAAAATAGATCGTAACAATAAAAAAATAGTGTATACAGTCCATAACGAGGTCATCAAAAGTTTTATATAAAAGTCAAAGGTAGTTTTATGATCACATTCATTAAAACCTATTTGTTGATACTAACTTACAATGTCACAAAGGTAAAATATGTTAAAATCTTCAAAAATTGAAGAAATAAAGAATTAATACTCCAAAGTAAAGTGAATGCGAGGAAGGAAATAATGACTGGGCGCACAGCAACCTTATGGTTACAGTATCTGGAGATGGTGGATATCCTGCGAAAATTTCTCAAAGCAGAGCGAACGGGAAACTGGAGATTGCATCTTCAGTCAGTACGTGAAATGCAACCCTTCTTTGCAGCATCTGGACACAAATTTTATGCGAAGTCCGCATTTGTATATCTGCAATGACCCTGCTGCCCGAAAAACACCCCGATGTCCATCAGAAATTCGAGGAAGGGTATCATGTAGTGAGTCGCAGTGAGAGATACTGGGGAGGACTGTTCACAGACCTCATCATAGAGCAGGTGCTAATGAGGAGCGTAAAGACGCAAGGAGTCCTGACACGAGGAAAGGGCATGACCGAAACTCAGCGCCTACTGGGGGTCATGTCCATGCCGGCATGTGCCAACATGAATGATGCCATGCAGAAGTTCACTGGTGTGTCATATGAGACCAGTGACCAACACAAGGATTTGTCAAAGGCTAGACAAGCTAGAGATGTCAATGACACCCTGAATCTTATCAGCTACCTCGCACAGAGGGCTCCATTCGTTGAGAATCCATCACTGTTCAACATCGCCAATGGCATGACGGCCCAAGAAGGAGTCAACGTTGACCGATCAAGAGAAATTGGGGAAGATATTCTCGACTCCATGGTCGGGGTATCTGTAGAAGATTATGTCTTCTGGAAAGCTGACCAGGCCACGACACTTGGATCAAGATCAACAGTGAGGGTCAAAGGAGAATCTGTAACGGTGGATCCACAGTTGATATTTCAGAGGTTGGTAACTGTAGGACAGCGTTCAGAAGATGTTTCATCCTTATTCAAGTATGAGCTCTGCACTCATCC